GTGGGTCAGTTATATGTCATGAGAATGCCTGTGTTTGAGACACATTAAAGTCTGTCATTTATGATTCATGTCAGACCTCTCTGAGCTTGGGTGGGAATGTTGGAAATGCTCCAACCAACCTTCGCCACTTTGACAACCCCTGATTAAATCAGATAACTCAAATAAGAAAACATGCTGTCTATTTTCCAACAGGTGATACATCCAACACAACCCTGGGCAGTACCGAAACATGCAATAAGCACAACCTCTGTATTGCATTACTTTATGCTCTTATTGCACCAGCCGGACAAAGTGCATTAAAAATACTATTTTATTATTATCTTTTTCAGTTGTGCAATTTTCTTGTTGTACATTAAAGTGCACCTGTACATATGTTTGGTATGTAGCAGAAACTACCAGTGAAGGTCCTTCAATTTCATGTTTGTTTTATTCAACATCAAATTGTTAATATCAGCTTTGATTAAAAACTTGAATCTTTGAAAAATTGCCTTAAGTTTCAGAACATCTTTGTTTGTTTCTCTCATTTAGCTGTAATGACAGACACACACATAAGCCTTTAAAATCACCATCATTATCGTTGTCATTAGATGGATCTGCACTGGTCCATGGGGATTTGGGGCTGTTTCCCCATGGACTAATGTAGAATGTGACTTCTTTCTACAATCACAGGAGTCACCCCCCTGGAACCCCTAAAGAAATCATATTTTGGAGAGTTCAGAATATCAGAGTACAACCCATGTAAAAAAGTTGTAGATTGATCTCAACAGAGCCATTCACTGAGAGAGTTTGAGAATCAAAGTGAACCAAAGCTGTTCGGGCAAATCTGTAGCTGAATTAAAACAATTCTGCAAAGAAAAGTGGGCCAGAATTCCTCCACAACAAAGTGACAGACTCATTGGCAGTTATCACAAACACGCCTTAAAAGTTTCAAAACCAGTTATTAGCTTTGGGGGGTAATTACTGTGTCACACAGGGCCAGGCAGGTTTGGATAGCTTTTTTACCTTAATAAATGAAAAACGATTTTGAACTATTCAGGTTATCTTGGCGTAATATTTAAATTTGTCTCATTATCTTTAACATCCAAGACAAATATGCAAAAAACTATGAAATCAGGAAGGAGTCAAATACCTTTTCACAGCACTGTACAAACAAGATTATCCTGACAAAAGGTTTGGCCGTCTACAAGATTCAGTTCTTCCACCAACACTAGAAGTATCCAATACTTGAAAACATGAAAAATTATAATTTTGTCTCTGTTGTCAACCTGTTGTGTTTGTCTTGTGACTAAGATGAATGTCAGATCGCATTAATGACCATTAAGTCAGTCCACAGGCTGTTTACTGTGTACTACGTTTGTGTCTTGTCTATCACACACTGTGAAATTCCTGTTTTGTGTTTTCTTGAACGCAGCCTCGCCTTCCTCCTTTCACTGTGAGTCTGCAGACACTCCGGGTTGTCTCCTGTCATTGTTCCCAGGGGAACTGCTGATGCTTCTTCTTCTTGTCATGATGAGTTGTTCACTGAGCCACTCAGGGCACTCCTATCAGTAAGATGTTAATCTCATTGTCTACTGTGGATCTAATACCAACAAAGGGGAAGAAAAGAAAAGGAAAGAAGATGGACACAGGTTTGGGGAAAATCTTAGTTTGAGGTATTTGTGTTTAGAACAACATTTGTATGACAAAGGTAAAGATGCTGGAGTTTTCTTGACGTCATTTTTAAAAGCATTGTTACGGAAATATGGTGATGGTGGTGTTATTAAAGTGGGAGATTTTTACAGGATACACTTCATTTAACAACACAATGCTCTGCCCAGTGGGTGCTG